GACTAAATCGGCCGCGCATCTTGATTCCAATATGCCGCATAATGAAACATTAATAATTACTATCTTGGGTTCAAACATGCACCTGTGGCGCTTGAAAATTTACGTACACAAGGGCATTTCGGACATGCAGGTTAATAATGAAGTTAATTTTGAATTCTGACAAACCATATGGGCAGCCATTTTGAATCCGCAATATGGCCACATGAAACGAAAATTGAAACATTACTATCTGCGGTTCTCTAAATGACATGTGGCGCTTAATATTTGGTACACACAGAGCATTTTCACACTGCTGACGTTTCAATAATGGATTGATTTGACCAATTCTGACAACCATATGGCAGCCATTTGTGAATTCCAGTATGGCGACATGACAAAACATGAACATTACTATCTTAATTGGGTTCTAATGACCTGCCGGCGCCTTGAAATTTGGGTACACAAGAGCCTTTTGCCATGCTGAGTTCAATAATGCATTTGGATTTGACATGTCTGACAAACCATATGGCAGCCATTTTAAATTCGCAGTTTGGCCACATGCACGAAACATTGCAACATTACTATCTTGGGGGTTCTAAATGCACTCTGCGGTGCTGAAATTTGGTACACAAGAGCATTTTGCCATGCTGAGTTTAATAATGGATTGATTTGACATGTTTGACAAACCATATGGGAGCCATCTTAAATTCTAGTATGGCCGACATGACGAAATGCCTGAAAATCTTAGGTTGCTAAATCACGTAAGGCACTGAAACTTGAAACTCAAGGATTTTTTATATGGCTGAGTTCAATTGTTTCAATAGAGCAAAAAGCCTATTCCAAAATATTTTCCTCACAAATTTGAAAGCTGTAACATGCCGCAAGACGTTTTCCATCCATTTTACTTTTTTCTGTTGCTCATCTGGGAAGCATTGTCCGGAGCAAAAACACAGTTCTGTGCATGGTAGATTAGCCGCGGAACATTTGCAATTTCCAGCACACCGTTTCTTACATTTTGCCACTTGATCAGCTCTTGGCACCCCTTTGACGCCTCTGCCATTATTGTCCAAAATGGACGCCAGTCATCATCAGCATTTTTCGCCCATCCCCAATCTGCAGGTGAAGGCAGCTCTGGGTTTGCAATTTGAGACTGTTCCCAGATGTGACCAGCCTGAAAGACTGCCCCTCTTCACATGTTGACGCAGTGACTCGATCCTTTGTCGCGTGGAATGTTTTCCAATTGCGATTTCCCTGAGCAAACAGCTGCTTCCGCTGCTTTGTTCACTTTCTTCAGAAGGCGAAGTTTTACTGTACAGAACAACGAAGAACCTCTCTATTGTTGTTCATGTCATCATTTGTTACTTCAGCTGGTGCATGTGAGAGATGATTGAAGACCTCCTTCAAGTTAGGCATGGAATTCCATATGTTCCACACGGTCCTTTTGCCAATCCCAGATATGGCAGAAACAGTATCGCATCCGGAAACACGTGCAGGAACAAAAGGCACCATGAGCGTTCAGGGCCAATGTGAGTCGCAAATATTGTTGAGCAGCAATGTGCCTGAAATTGTTTCCACGTCCAAATGCCAACCACATTGCACAGCCGTCCATAACGCCTTGCCCATCGCGATCGCCAACACAAACCACATCCGTGTCCGTTGCCATGGAATTACTATACTTCTGTGCCCCCGCTGATATGCATGCCAAGCATGTAGCAACATGCGTGAATCAGCCTCTTTCATGCGTACATGGCTCAATTGAGAAACATCAGAATAGGGCTTTGATTTAACCTCTTCTTCATTGGTTGTTAGAAAGATATTTTCACTTCTGGACAGCCATCGTTTGCCAGAGCATCTGCAAGGAAACTGAATAGTGTCTTTTTTGTTGGAATCTACACGAAAGGAAAGCTGCTCCAGTTTCGTCGTACGGATGTCTGTTCAGTCACATGGAGTGGTATGCCAGTGCCACGACCAAGCCTGGTGCTTCCTTTGAGACGCGTCCGTTCTGTAGGTGTCCCACACTAGATCAACACGCAATAACCAGACTCCTCGTTTAACTTTCGGGCAATGTACGGAAGGAAACTGTTTCTGTGCATAGTCACCAAATGTCCTGACCACACTGTTGCACTTCGTAGGCTCCACTCCAACTGGTGGACTAAGGCAGCCCCATCAAAAATGCTAACTACTTCTTTCGGCATATCATGAGGACGTGGCGCTAATGCTTCCAACCACGGCAAATGTTAAGCTTTTCCGGTCGGTGGGCGCATTGTATTTATATCTTCAGCCAATGCTGGTGGCCACCCATGACACGCATGTTCAAAGAATGTATCAAGATCACCGGCCATCTCTTGCTTGGCAAGAAATGTACATTCGTGAGAACAGCGCCACATTACTTTTCATACTTCATGATAGCCTACTTGTAATCTTCGCCTGAGACTTTCCATGTGTGTTCTTGGGCTTCGATTTGAACAGTGGCAGATTGTTCTTTGAAATGGTATCATAGAAATTGACGGAAGGATCCTTGATTCGCTGCTCCACAAATCTGTCATATCGTGTTTTGCCAGTGTCCTCCACGGATCGCACTGTGGCTATCACTTCATCAGGCATGATGACTTTGGTGTCAAGCACATACAGGTCTTTACTGTCTTCCGCGAACGGGTTTTCCAGTTTTTCAAATGAACTGATTGTATTATTGAGATCTGATGCAAACGATTTCTGGACACTAAGCAATTGTTCGTGGTGGCGGACATCAGTTTGCCACTGTCTTTGAAACTGGTCCTCAAACTCACTCAGGATTCTGGCTATTTCTGCACCAGCCACCATCCACCGGCGAAGAGCCCCTTCATTCTCGGTAATTCCAATGACTCCACCATCACCTTTCACTATAGCGTTCTGCTGTTCGTGTATCTGATCGTGTGCCAAAGCAGAGAACTTGTGTGATGACTTCTGAGTGACAAAGTTTCCCTTGACAAATTCACAATGGATATCCACGGAATCGTTTGGAAGTTCCTGAAGGTCCATTACATGCACTGTCAACCATCTGGCATAATGGTAATGGTCCATGGCAAACATCCACGGAATGATTGCCGTCAGGGGCTCCACATACAGCGTGTAGTTGGCCTCCCGTTGTGATTTTATGAATGCCAAGAGAATGCCACGTACTGTATGTGTGTGCGTGCTTGCGTACTGTATGTGTGTGTGTGTGTGTGTGTGTGTGTGTGTGTGCGCGTGCGTGTGTGCGCGCGTGTGTGTGTGTGTGTGTGCGTGCATGTGTGTGCGCACGCGTGTGTGTGCGTGTGTGTGCGCGCGTGTGTGTAGTAGATAGTATTGTTCAACATTTCGTCATGTCGGCCATACTGGAATTTAAGATGGCTGCCATATGGTTTGACAGACATGTCAAATCAATCCATTATTGAAGTCGGCATGTCAAAATGCTCTTGTGTACCAAATTTCAGCGCCGCAAGTCATTTAGAACCCAAGATAGTAATGTTCAATGTTTCGTCATGGTGGCCATATTGGAATTCAAAATGGCTGCCATATGGTTTGTCAGACATTTCAAATCAATCCATTATTGAAGTCAGCATGTCAAAATGCTCTTGTGTACCAAATTTCAGCGCCGCAGGTCATTTAGAACCCAAGATAGTAATGTTCAATGTTTCGTCATGGTGGCCATATTGGAATTCAAAATGGCTGCCATATGGTTTGTCAGACATGTCAAATCAATCCATTATTGAACTCAGCATGTCAAAATGCTCTTGTGTACCAAATATAAGCGCCACATGTCATTTAGAACCCAAGATAGTAATGTTCAATGTTTCGTCATGGTGGCCATATTGGAATTCAAGATGGCGGCCGATCCATTGGTCAGATCTCTTGGATCCGGCAATTTTTGAAATCAGCGCCCCAAAATACCCCTGTATACAAAATTTCACCCTTTCTGCCAGATGTGAACATTTTTTTCACATATCTGCCCCACTAATAACAGAGATGAAATTGCGTTGAGTTTGTGGCTCTTGAGGCACGGGCATTGACGTAGAAGACTGTTGAAAGCACAGGCACTTGGAACTTCTCAATAAAAATAAATATTCACACAATTTTTCACAATGATCCACCGCCTGTGTGCAAAATAGGTTCACGAACGTATGTGAAACATTTACGGTTAGTACTTACTGTGACATATCCGTGACTAACTGACACCACTGAATTGGTAAAATGTTTCATGCACCTTGAGAAATTCTGAGAAAGTACGAGGTTATCATCGCAGAACTCCCGACACCGACCATCCTGATGTAACAAAGCTATATGTAAACAAACAGGCGTGTTGCGAGGTGTCTGCCTCCGATATCCATTTCGAGGCCCGCTAAGCCAAGCATAAAGCGCGTGGGCAAGACGTCACACACACAGCTACGTTCATTGGCTAAAACAATCGAGTAGCGCGGTCAGGGATTTTCGGATTTCTTTAATTTTAAGAAAAACTTCAATGTGAAATGAATGACGCACTCGTTCACTTCCGAAAGCGGGTAAAAATGCCGAATTTTCCCACTTCGATGCAAAATGCATTGGCCGGGCCTTTCATTATTTACGAAAAGCAAACAGTCTCGCCAAACACCTACACGCAGTAATTGGTCACGTCATTGACGCCCCATTCAGTGTCAATCAACGAAGAAGGCGGGGCTTATTCTGATTACGGAGATGCGAAAATTCAACAGAAGGACGTAGCGCAGTGCGCTAAACAGCGTGTTATTTTCGTTTTTGTGCCAAACTATCGTAGGAAACCGTTCTAGCCTAGCAGAATGCCCTAATTCTTGAGATCGGCGATTCCGTACCTCAATGGGTCCCCACCTTTGAAATTATAACGGAGAGGTGCGGCGTACGCTGTGATTGGAAGACACAAAGTGCCAATCCTCGGCGCGCCTCGGCATCATGGCCACATCACGTCGAGCACGAAAACAATATCCTCCGCTGCACACGTGCAGAGGCTAATAAAGAGATTCTCTCAAAAATTCACCCAAAACAATACACAATAATGTGAATATAATAGTTTTTTATTTATTCGGAAAAAAGTTTCTCCATCTCATTTCCAATACCTAGCATGACATTTCAAAACGCTTACATTTAGATATAATACATTCCAGTATTGAACTATATGTACCACTTAGTATGTAACATTTTGTCCAGAGCTAATACTTTCATAAGAATGATCAATGCTAACTATCAAACTCATGATGCAGAAGAATCATGTGTATAATACTAGCTACATCTAAAATACATATATAATCTTTGCTTGCTTTGCCTTCACTCGACTACTAAAATAATAATGAGTAAGTAAATGTGGTAATAATAAGATTAGATGATATCCGTTAATAAAGTGGACGACAGTCAGTTATGGAGAAAATGAGTTGCAGGTGCTGCCATAGCGTACACGCGGCGTGTACTACATACAACACTTGATGGTTTGGTTTATACCTCTGTTGCTTGAAGTACCTTGGCGGTATTGTAATTATTTATCATGTGCTTTGTTACTTAAACAATGTCGCTAAGGTACGCTGCCACATTTAAACAGATGCACTCGCTTCTCTTAGCATCAAAGAACGTAAATTTCCACCTTATGCGACACAACCCACGGCATTTCAATTACACGTTGAGAACTCCGAGCTACCGAAAGGGGGAGAAACCGTCAAACGACGGCGACTATGCTATACACCCCACCCCAGGCTGCCCGCGCGCAACCCGACAGTGCTGCCTACGTGCCAGACTCGTACGCAGGATTCTTCTTCAGGATGACGAAGCCCTCCATGACGGGAGTCAGCGAGATGTACTCCTCCGTCGCTAGCTCGGCGCGCTCTCCGTGCGCAAGCAGCACAGGCGTCGTGTGCGTCTGGAAGCCTGTGATCGTCTTTGGCTTCCCGGCTTGCCCGACGACGTCGACGGCTTGGCCGACGCGCACGGAGACGGGCAGCGGGTGAGCCTCGTCATCGAGCGTGACGAGCATGCGCGGCTGCATCGCGGCGACGGCGTAGTACAGCATGTAGTGTGAGCGGCCGAGCACGATATTCTTCACGTCGAGGAACGCGACGAGCGTCGCCAGCAACCCGCCGACGGCGACGGGCGACATGATCGCGCGGTCGCTGTGATACGGCGACAGCGTCAGTGTGCCCTTGCCGAGGTGCGTCAGGCCCTGCGCAAGCCGAACCATGAAGAGGTTCGCTGGGTCCTTCGCGTGGTAGACGGCGAGCTGACGCAGCATCGCGGCGAGGCGCGCGTTGTTCGTGCCCGCGCCGAGCATGCCCATCGCGAAGATTGCGTTGTGCGCCACCTCCTGGTCGCTGTCGTGCGAGAACTTGCTCAGCGTTTCCATGATGCTCAGGTTCGGGTTCGAGACGGAGATCAGAGCGAGCGCGAGCGGCACGGCACGGCGTATCGTCGGTTCGCCGTAGCGTAGCAGGTGACCGAACGAGCGGAACGACATCTCCGAGCCGATGTCCTCACCCATCGCAATCAGTGCGATGCCGAGCACGGCGACCGCCTGCTGCGATGACAGGTCGGCCTTCCCTTTCTTCTCCTTCTCCTCCTCCTCCTCCTTCTCCTTCTTCTCGTCTTTCTTCTTGCTGCGCTCGTCCTTCTTCGCGTCCTTGGCGTCGTCGGTGTCGGTGTGCTCGTAGTGCTCACTGCAGATGTGGAGCAGGCGCTGCACCTTGAGCACGTTGCCCGTGCCTGCGTACGCGCACACGTCGACGAGAACGGACGCCATGCCGCGGAACGGCTCCGGCAGCACCTCGAGCGCCGCGATCACGGCGTCGATCGATTCCTGCTTGCCGAGGAAGTTGAGACCAAGAGCCAGCGGCACGAACCTGCAAGGACGCGTTGCTGATTAATTAATGAGGAGATAACAATTTAAATCTTAATTGTTAATCAGTGCTAATACAATGAATATATATGTGTATTCTACATATAGTAACAGTTAAAGGAATAATAGGTCCATTGATTATGCAATGTTGACGAATGCTAGAGTAACTGGCACCTTATGTAGTTAATAAGTGCATTACCTTATAGCCAAACGCGTATTAGTTTGTCCAATATCACTGCTGGTTACTAAAAAATGTCTAATTGAAATCTGCAGTCCAAGAAATCAGTTGACTGAGTTGTTTACAGTTTCCATTCAGTTTCAAACCGCTGGGTGTGATACAGATTTATAGTGCACCGGACATTTTCGCACGCATGCTCGGCCGTACGCAATGCTATCATCAGTGATTTCGTAAACACGGACACTCGTGATAAGGAACTTTTTGTCAAGGCTGTCCATGTGCGTCCGTGATTAGTACGTGTGTTTTACTCCATTTCCATGTTTAGTCCATGGCCGTGGTTACACCGCTGACACCTCCATTTCATCTGGCGTCCAAAACATACGGGCCGCACAAATGTTTATGTCATCGGCGACTTATCGCTTGACTCCTGGATGACATTTACGGCACGTAAATGAATATCAACAACCGATTTCAAGTCTTGCTTGTAATGTAACCAGCAGTGATATTGGACAAACTAATACGCGTTAGGCTATAAGGTTACGTACTTATTAACTACACAAGGTGCCAGTTACTCTAGCATTCGTCAGCATTGCATAATCAATGGACCTATTATTCCTTTAAACCTCAATTATCCGAACGAGACGGGCGGGGAGTATTTTGTCCGGATAACTGATCTGATCGTATTAAATTGTTAAATATTCACAGGACCTTGAGATCTTGTTCGGATAATTGATGTTCGGATAACCGAGGCTTGACTGTATACACATGCTAACATATAGAATAATGATGTATATAGCAGGGTAAAATCGATTTTTCCGCGGACCTGCGATGAGGTGTAGTATAAATAACGTGCACATCGACAACGACTGAAATCTACAACTGTTAATCAGTACATAGACTGTGAACATGTTTCCTATATGTTCATGCTAATGCAGATAGTGATAATGAATACAAAAATAAAATATAGTTTTCTACGAACCTGCAACGAAGCTTAGTATAAGTAATGTGCGCTCATTTAATGATGGAAATTTAATTGTTAATCCATGCCAACATATATGTTGATAATGATCAGGATAATGATAAATGAAAGGATAGATAATGATGAGTAAAATCTAGTTTTCTACAATCCTGCGACAAGACATCATCGAGTAATTAACACATGTATAGCGATAACAAGCGAAATCTAATTTTTCATCCTTGTTAACACACACATATATATATGTATATAGTGATAATGCCTAGGAGAGTGAAATCTAGTTTTCTAGAACCTCCGTTTATTTCTAAAACCTACAATTAGTTAATACATGTTTGGAGACATAAAGCGATAATACAGTGATACACCTATTAGTAGTAGCTGCTACAAACTATGTATGTTGATAATGAGTCAAATCTAATTGTAAAATATCGAAGGTGAAGTTATATTAATTATCTGTTTACCTGGCATATGTATTCTTTAGATCACTCTCACTCTTTTCCATAAGCGTTTGTAAGATGGTGGATGTGACCTCACTGTTGCATGAGCCAACTGCAATCATGCCTACAACAAACATCCCAAAGCACTTTATATAACGTAGTACAGTCAAACTTCATTACAACGTACCTCCAGGGACCTTAAGAATCAGTACGTTATAATGATAGTTCGTTGTAACCAATTCCCATAAAATGAACGCTCAATAGCTAAAAGTTCAATAGTGTTACTAAGGCTAAGCGACTGGGGAAGTCCCGAAACAGTGCTGCTCGAGCTACAAGGTTTCCCGCCGTACGTTGTAACGAAGGCTAGTATGCATTTTTCCAGTGAAAATTTGAACGTTGTATTGAAGTTTACGTTATAAAGGTGTACGTTGTAAACGATACTGGCAAATGGAATTATGCATTACATAAATTGCGGACTTGGAGATGTGTGCGTTGTAGCAGTGTAAACGTTATAAACAGGGTATGTAGTAACGAAGTTCAACTGTACACAGAACCAAAAAATACACTCTGTATCCATTCATTTAAAAGCTACCATTACACAGTGAATACTACAGACTATGAACTGGAATAAACGAATAAAACACGAACTAAACATGGACTATTACGAAGCTAATTACAGTCCATTGCAAAATACACAGACTGCCAAGCAGTAAGCACGGACTGCTAACGGACTGCTTATTAACAATTTCCCTGCCAGCTTGGCAGCCCCACACACCAGCAGCGGGAGCTTTTGAAGCAAACAAATGTTAACAGGCACTGATACTCTAGCTAGGCCATAATAAAAATATTGTTTGTTTGCCCTCACCCGACCAATCCGCCAAAAAGCGGCCGACTCAAAAAATTTTATTGATCTTTTTTCTTCTTCTTTTTTTAACAAATTGTATCACTGTACATTATATAAATCTGTAGGCAATACATTATATGTACCAAGCAAAAGAAACATTCAACATAAAAGGTATCTCCACACAAGCACACCCGAGCATGTAGACACTACGCTGAATTTGTAAAAAGACCCCCGCCCTCAAAAAAAAGAAGCCGACCTACCTACCCAAACTTTTCAGCCTGGGTCGGGTGAGGGCAAACAAAGATTTGTTTAATTGTGGCCCTGCTTACCATCGCTGGCTGCCGCGACGGACCCCCGACTCTTATCCCAGTTCTCACGCCTGGGCGCAGACACACATCATCTGTCACCAGTGGACCAAACTGGATCGAGTGTGGAGCGAGCGAGGCAACAGCTAGCAGAGAAATCCACATACTACGGACATAATAATCACCGACTCTCAGTTAACACTAACAGTCCGGTGCTTATCCCTTAGCAGTCCATGTATTTACAATGGACTGTAATTACCTCCGTAATAGTCCGTGGCTCTCCGTGCGTTTTGCACCATTTACGTGTTTAGTCCCTGTTTTATCCGTTTATTCCAGTTCGTAGTGATGAGAGAGAAGTCTCCCCTCTCACGTCTTCTCTCACTCTCTCCGTCACTTCTCCTCGCGCTCCGTCTACTTCTCTCCGCTCTCATGGCTCGCATCCCCGCCCACATCGCCTCATCTCTCTCTTCATCGCTCTCGCTCTCTCTCTCTCTCCTTTCTCCCGTCTCATCTATCTCTCTCTCTCTCTCATGTGCCTTCTCTCGCACGCTCATCTCTC